GTGTTTAGTTTTGCCTAAAGTTATCGTCATGACATCCAGTAATGACCTGTTTACCAGACATGGGAGTATCCTTGCCGCTGCTGAACTTGTGCATGCTCTGTATCTCCATGGTAACACTCAGCACCAGTATGTATTGATTGTYATAATACTTCATACTATGCATATACAGGGCATTATACCCTCTCAACAGTTAGAATGACTGGCAGGGCTAAAAATAACTGCAACTCATTGACAGTGTCTGGCCAGAATTAGCCTGCATAGCGGCCCAATTTGGGGGAGGCAGGGAGGCCTGTGAAGGCCCAGCCCTTTCTCCTCCCCCCTCCCCAAAATTGGGCCGCTATGCAGGCTAGGCCAGAATTGGAACTTGTCTGGTCAAATCTTTGCCTGGCTGGTTGTTTTGACCAGTAACGTCCAGCTAGAAAGGGGGTATGTCCCAGCTAAAACTACTTTGGCTGGTCATAATGGTTGGTGTGCAGACTGACAAAGCCTTTATTTTTATTCCTGGACTAATGTTGTGTGGTGTGTCTGTTTCAGATCAGTTACTGATGTTGTCTCTGACAAGTGTCTCACAGACTTGAAGGACATCGTACCCAAGGTATCTGTAGTATTCTAGCTTTTTTATGATAATTGTAACTACATGTTGTGATTGGATGATTGACACAAAAACAATGGGAAGCCATTTCTAAGTAGTGTTTTAATAGTGCTGACTTTAAGTAAATTTCATCACAAAAATAATAATTGTTCTTTTCTCTTAGTTGCACTCTGCCAAGTTGTTCAGGTATGATCAATATAGCTAATATTTCTTTTTGTTTATTGTTGAGAAATATGGGTAGTGCATGAGGCTAATAGGTAATGTTTGCCGCTGATGGGTAGTGCATGAGCCTAATGGGTAATGCATACTGTTGATGGGTAGTGCATGAGACTAATGGGTAATGCATGCCGCTAATGGGTAGTGCATGAGACTAATGGGTAATGCGTGCCACTGATAAGTAGTGCATGAGACTAATGGGTAATGCACGCCACTGATGGGTAGTGCATGAGACTAATGGGTAATGTGTGCCGCTGATGGGTAGTGCATGAGACTAATGGGTAATGCGTGCCGCTGATGGGTAGTGCATGAGGCTAATGCATTGCTTCTCACCTCTGTGGTCACAGTTTTGATCCACAGACCCACCAACTGTTTAACCATATTTTTTTATTGGTCTTTCAAGCATTTTAAAAAACAACTTCAATGTGATCAAATGCTTTATATTAATTGTTATATACAAAGATAATGTTTTGTTTCGTGTTATTATCCCTGGTTAATAACGTCAATGGTTTATTATTGATATAGGGGTCTTGGTGGTGAGTTTATGAGACAAGCAGGTGGGTGCCATTTTGCTTATCAGTTCACTGCGGTCAGTAGCTGTATGTTTGCTACAGCGCCTTATACAGGTCCATAGCATTTAGGCCTGGATATCTGGGGGCTGATTAAGAAGCTAGAGGGGAGGGATGGGGGGCTTGCTATGGGTTTGATATCTTAAGATTCACAACAGTCATGTCCACCTATGTGCCAACCATTTTCATTATTAATATTACACCTTACCTCATCATCCATGACTGTTCAGTGTGCCGTCACTCTACAAAGTCATAGCACTTTTGTTATATTGAAAACAGTCATAACTATGTAAGTTAAAATTTAAATGAAGTGGAAACAGGTAGCAAGAATTGGAAAATACAAATGACTATTATACAAATTGATTGTTGTTAATAAAATAATATAAAAATAGTATATGTCAAATAAATACATATTAAATA